GGAATTAAGACTCTTCACATCTTGTCTCCTCAATTCTGACTGTGCACAGGGCTACAAATTCGTGAGGAAGTTAAACAACTAATCCTCATCTGACATAGTAGACACGTCGAGCATCAAAGAACAGAAAGCCTTCATGTAGTCCTTCACTGAACCCACTTGCTTCAAGTTTTTCAAAGCTTCCCTTGCTAGCCATGCAGCATTGCATGAAAGGAACTAAGCTCTCAATTCCTTCTTCAGCTCAACCCACTCATCAATTGCAGGTCTGCCTCCACTTGTCACTTCTTGTACACGAGTCCTTCACCATAACTTAGCATCTCCAACCAATTACATGCTCGTGATAGACACCTTCTTAGCATCTGGAATCTTAGCAGCTTAGAAATACTACTCCATATCCCACAAGAAATTCTTCAACTCTTTGGAGCTTCGTTCGCGAACATATGCCTTTGGCTCAGGCACCTTGATTTTGGTTGTCATTGAGCCTCTTGACTCAAAGTCCTGTCATTCAAAACAAGCTTCACCACGCTCAATCTGTCTCTACCTCCTTAAGCTTTCTACCAATGGCCTTCGCTAAGCCATCCATATCACCTAAAACATCGGTGATCTTCTTCTCCATTAAAGCTTTCAACTCTCTGAAGACTCTTTCGATCTCTGTCATCTTGGCATTAAGATCCTCCATCTGGGTGACCACACACTCGGTCTCATCCCCACTCACAGTACCAAGGAAATTTTCTATCCTTATTACTCTCTCTTTCAAGGAATCACTACCTCCAGCCATTCCTTTCTAGCTTTGTAACTCCAAGACTATTCCTGGCTCGAAAATTGCCACTTTCTACGGATCCCGGGAGACAATCCGCACTTCAAACTCCACTCGAACTTAACAGAAATGTGACTAAAGCACATTTTGATACCAACTGTAACAGGGGTGAAAAACACCTTTAATTTTTCGACCCTTGTCCAGCACTTAGACTCCTCCTAAGTTAGCCTTCTCGCACCTCCAACTCGTGAGGCTTCAAAATTCACACAGCGGTACAAGTGATTACCAACACACACCAAGCAAGACTTGCCTACACAGGAAAACTCTCACACTCAATATATGGGCAAAGTTCCCAAAGTTTTATTCTAAAAAAGAAAAGGATTACAAGCTCTTACTTTTTGTTGAACTACCACATCACTTGGTATCTCAACTTCACCTTCACAAGGTATTTATAGGCATAAACTATGTAGATGACACCCCCCCATCTACTTAGGAAACTTTGGCAGCCATTAGATCTGCCACCTATACATTTGTTTCTATCCAAAAACCTGCCTAGCCCACTCTTGCCGCCACCTTGCAGCCTATTTAGTCATGGAGCAAATTTTTACTCTTAAAAATCTCTCCCACTCCTTGGAACATGTAACCGCCCACAATGCTCCAACCATCAGCCACATCTCGAATTTTAAGCTTGCAGCACTCTTAGCCACGTCCAGCCACCTTTGGAACTACATAAAAAACTGTTTTGCCATGTTAGAAACCCAGTACAACACGTCTATCAACCAACTGCCACGTCCAGCCCACATCTTGTCGACATCCGTTGCGCATGCTGCATGCTAGTCTACGTTGCGTGCTACTGCCTTGCGCGCAAGACTGTGCTGCGAGCTACTATCTGCGCGCATTTGCGTTGCGCTGCATAACGCACGCTATCTGCGCTGCGCGCTGCACACCCTTGCGCTGCCATGTCTTGCTGTGCTGACTGCCATGTCTTGTTGCACTGCTACCAAGTTTTGCTGCCTACTCCCAGCCCAAAACTCACTTGTTCTAACATTGTCTTGCTTCTCGTGTGCACCTCCCATGCACTTTTGGCTTGCCTTGGCATGGTGCAAAACATCAAAACCATGTCATAGCCTATGCCACTTGCTAAGGGTCTTACAGGAGCTTCTAAGGTCAACATAAGGATAGGCTCAAGTTTTATGTCTCCATTAAGGGGAATGGTGGAAGTTAGCTCATACACATTGCTTGTGATGGTTGCCTGGTCGACCGAGGTAGCATGAGGGTCTACCATATTCGCTTAAAAAGAAAAATGTAAATTTCCTAAAAACTTAGGAACTTTGAAAAAAAAAAAAAATCAGGTGAAGTTACCTCAGGAATTGGGTCTTCGGGGACCACCTCAGAAGGATGGCTCAAAGAAGGTTCTGAATTCATGGTGAAGAAGGGTTGGAGCTCAACTTCAGTTGTCGTCGTATCGGCCGAGGCATACTTCGGTCCAACATAAGTGCTCTGAAATATTTAAATGTTCAAGTAAGAACTTAGGGGCAAATGTAAAAGAAGTTTTTATAATTTTTAAAAAAAACCTTGAAATTTTGAAGTACTCTGTGATTCGGCATGTGAGGGAAGTCCTTCTCAGTCAACATGGCCTCGGGCTTCACAGGACGACCTCCAGATGTTTGGGCGGTCTCATGTGACTCCATGGGAGCTTCATCCTGGTGTCTCGAGGCATAGGTGTCGGCCAACTAAGTTTGAGAATTTTGGTAAATATGAAAGAAATACTACGCAAAGAAAAAAACTCAAGTGGTCGAGGAGATGAGCTTATCCCGATCTCATGCTCAGAGTTCATAATATGCTCCAACTTTTGTCTCAAATATGGGAA